TGCCCATGCTCACCACAGCCCTGAGAGGTAGGTCCCGTTATTATCACTCTCATCCCCATTTTACAGGTAAAGAAACTGACGGTCCAAGAGGTTGACTGATCTGTTCAGAGTCACATGAAACTGATGGTCCAAGAGGTTCACTGATCTGTTCAGGCTTATGAGGACTCAAGCAGGTATGTCTGATTCTGATTCTGAAGCCCCTGCTCTTTCTGCTACATCTGTGGCCTCTTGGCAGCTGTCATGATGACCAAGGCCTGGAACAGCCCCTGATCCACTGCCCTTCATCCTCTACTCTGCAAGTCTCCAGCCCCCGAGCACTGACCTCTGCAGCTATCAGGCCAATTGCAAAGCTGAGCCCTTGCCCTCCTTCCTGTTGGACTTGGAGTTGATCTGGCCTCAGATCAGAGCCAGGTCAGTCTTGGGGTTGCACTGAAGGGAGGCAGCCTGCTGGATTCAAATCCTGTTCCCCTGTGACACTGACATGGCCTTGGGCCCCTCTCTGAGGCCCCTCTTGCCAAATGCAAATGGGAACAATCATACCTGCCTTGTTGAATTTTGGTTGAGAGCCCAGGCAGGGCTGGGAGAAGGTAGGTAGGCGCCTACAGGCTGCTGGGCAGAGATGGTGAGGAACAGGGCCGTGGCTGGGAAGGTTGGCCCTGCTGAGAGCCAGCCTGTGTTTGGGGCATTATCCCAGCTTCACTATGCCCACCCTCCTGCAGCTTGATTTCTCCTGGTCATCTGGGTCAGACCTTGATGGGGCCTGGACTGGGTTCAGTGTGGCAGCCATCTGGTATCTGTCTTCAGGGGTGCCACAGAGGTGGTCATTGGCCCTGGGAGCCCCATGGCATGCTTTCTGATAGAAGATGCAGTGGCTGCTGCAGGTTACCATGGAGACAGGGAGGCCAGGGCCCAGGGGAGCCCACGGCCTGCTAAAGGGAACTGTTCTGGGAGCTGGAGGCAAACCATGTGACGGTGATGAGGCAGGAGGGGCCTGGGGATTGCTGAGTCTTTGTCACATCCCTGATCCCCCAAAACTCTATCCTTCCCCCAGCCCTAAGCCATCTTCAGCCCACTCAAACTTCTCCCGTCTAGGCCAAGGAGAGTTCCCTCATTCTCCCCACGTACTCAAGAGGCTCAGCTACCTTGACAGGCAAGAGAAAAAAGAGGAGCCTAGCAAGTGAAGAGCAGAGAGGGACAGGAAGCATGTCATTAGGACAGGGCTCTTTCTGTGTGCCAGACACTGAGCTAGGCTTTACATGGATGATGCCGTTACCATTCTTTGGTGTGGCTGTGACATCTAAAATGGGGATAACAGGGCACCCGAGGCCCAGAGTGGTTAAGAGACCTCCCCAAGGTTGCACAGCTAAAGCTGACAGAGTAAGAGCTTGAACTTAGGACCATGTGGCCCCAAAGACAGAAATCTTTGTTTTACAGCACACTGGCAGGGGTTGTGAGGAATCAGGGGTACGGCAGTGCCCTGCACTGTGGGCTGGGCCATTGCTGCACTCTCTCCTTCCTTAATGTTCCAGGCATTTCTGCAGGGGGTCTGATGTGCCCAGCACTGTGCTGGGCACTAGGAATAAGATGCTGGGAGACAGATGCAGCATGGCTGGGTGTGTGCCCAGGAACCTGGAAGGAGCTATGGGAGCCAGGAGTCAGGATATCAGGTGGGCACTAATGGGCCTCAGGGCATTAGGTGGGCTTCAGCTCTGCTGAGGCCTATGTGTAGGCAGGTAGGGCTGGTGAGAGAAGACTGAGCCCTGCCCCCAGAAGCACCCTGCCCTGAGAGGGCAATACCTGGTAGGCATGGGGGCCAGGTAAGGCTGCAGCTTGCAAATGATCCCAGCGCCAGAGAAGAGTGCAGGTGTGGGCTGCAGGGGGAGTGGCTGAGCAGCTGGCCATGCCCAGGTTTTGGGGCAGGGCAGGGAGGGTGAGTCACTGCAGGGCTGAAGTGGACAGGATCACTTCCTGGGCCCCATAAACGTGGAGAATCTTTCCAACCCTTCAACCGTTCCACCCTCAAAGATCAATGGGCCTGCCCTCCCAATATTCTCCCCTTGAACCTGGAACCCAGGCTCTTGTCCTTCCCATGTCTTGGGTGGTGCCCCTCACCCTTCCCTGGAGGGATTCATGGGCTCTGCCCTCATACCCAGTTGACCCGAGCCATCCCTGCTCCAGAATCTGAGCATTGGAGAGCCCCACCCCAAAGAGGCCAGTTTGACAGGGGTAGCAATGAGGGTATGCTTGGAGGACATTTATCCCCCCACTGGGTCCCCTGTGCCCATCCTGCTCCACTCCCAACAAGGGAGCCAGGCATCCCCACCCCTCCCCCTTCACACAGTGTCACTTCCTGGTTCTCACAGGAAGCTGCAGTGCCAATTAAACACCCCTCACCACCTCCCCCGCCAAGGGCCAGGCCCCAACGTAGGCCTGGCTTGGCCTAGAAGGGTAGGGACCAGACTGCAGCCCCACTTTGGGTTCTGGGCCTGGGAGGGACAGTGGACGCATTCTTCTGGACCCTTTGCTCCCCTCCCTTTTCTCCGCGGCAGCGCTCAGTCTGGGTTTCCGCAGTCCACCCCAACCCCGCTCCCTGACCACCCAGCCCCCTCCCGCCAGCGGTGCCCACCTGCACACGGTGATCAGGTTCTTACGCTCCACGGCCACGTTGCGGGAGGACGCTTTCTTGGAGGACAGCCCCAGAGCCATGGTGGTCTGGACAAAGCTCGCTTCCATCCAGATGTGCGGCCACTGCTGCCGCCGCCCGCTGCCCCCCACCCCGCCCGGAGCCCCAAACCCGTCGCTGGATCACGGCTGGGCCCTCTGCCCACCGGTGCCCCTCGACCCTTCCATGGCCATCCCTCTGCCTCTGCGCCCGGTGTCCAGTCCCCTCGTTCCCTCCCCCGGCGGCGATGCCAGAGCAAAACAAGGCCGGGGAGGGAGCTCTCCGAGGTGCTGAGCCGGGCCCCGTCACCCCCTCCTCCAGCCGCCCGCCCCACCTCAGCCAGTGACGTCAGGGCCCCGGGCCCCGCCCCCAGCTATCTGAGGACCAATCCGCAGAGGGTGCAGCGTCTTGGGGGAGGGGGAAGAGCCGGGGTCCCCGGGAGGGCGGAGGGGGTCCCCAGGAGAAGCAGAGATTGGAAGGAGAAGCAGGGGGCCTGTCCTCCACCCCCACACTCAGGGCCCGAGATTCCTCGCTTCGCCTCGCCTGGCCTCGAGTCTGGCTCCGACCTCTCTACTCCCTTGTTTCTGACCTGAGCTCCGTGGGGTCTCTGATCTCCCCTGCCGCCTGAAGAAAGGAGGTTCTCACTTCAGGGACCCTCGTCCCTGCCCCGCCCCCCACCCATTCAGCCTCGGCTTTCTCCGGGAGGCGAGGGCTGCGTGCAGAGAGCGCAGGTGGCCCCCGGCTGCTAACCCAGGAGGCTAAGGAGCAGCCCTAGAGACTGCGCATCTGCGTGTCTGTCTGTGCCTGGGCTGGACTCGCCTGCACCAGCCGGGCTGAGCCAACCTCTCCTGGGGTGGAGGATGGGAATCCAGACCAAGCCTAAGGGCCCGGCGCCTGGAACCGCTCGGGACCGAGAGCGGGGAGCAGACTGGCAACGAAGGGCCCTGGGCTCTGCGGAGGTTCCCAGCAGCAGAGCAGGCGCCTACACTGGTGCCAAGGCAACCGGAGGGGGTGGCGGCCCACCCCCTCACACCACCCCAGAGCCAGCTGGCCTAAGGTTAACCCCTTGGCTGCCAGCATTGCCGCATGGTGCCATCAAACCTCTCTGAATGGGGTCATTGATCTCAGGCAAAGCCAGGAGTGTCCTGTAAAACTGGTTGCAGCGCTCCACAGGGATGGGGGGAAATGCAGGCAGTGTGATGTCCCTCCTGCCCTTGGCCTCCTATTCCTCTCTCACATCCCTGCTCCCACCTGCTCAGTTCCTCTATTCAACCTGTTCCAGGATTTTCAGCGGGGGTTCCCCTTCACCCGCTGCAATCTGCAACTCCCACATAAAGCCTTTTTGTGTTTATTAAAGGGCCTCTACCCAATTTCTCCACCTGCCCTTAGGAACGTCCCTTCCAGGACTCACCGCACCTATTCTCCAACTCTGCCTACCCTCTCAATTCACCTCTGCCAGTGGATTGCTGATGTCTCTACATTGATTCAGATTTGCACCCACATCTGAAAATGATCAGCAGGCAGGAACCCTCTGTTAGCACAAGTGGAGGAGGAGGAGATGAAAGATGCTGGTCTGCTGGGCATGGTGGCTCATGCCTGTAATCCCAGCACTTTGGGAGGCCGAGGCAGGTGGATCACCTGAGGCCAGGGGTTCGAGACCAGCCTGGCCAACCTGGGGAAGGGAAACCCCATCTCTACTACAAATATAAAAAATTAGCCTGATATGGTGCTGAGCACCTGTAATCCCAGCTGCTCGGGAGGCTGAAGCAGAAGAATCGTTTGAACCCAGGAGGCAACGGTTGCAGTGAACTGAGATCTCACCATTGCACTCCAGCCTGGGTGACAAAAGCGAAACTCCATCTAAAAAACAACAAAAAAGAGCAGGGTCTGACTCCCTGGAGACCGGTGAGAGGTCCTGAATCCTAGCATGGGATGTCATGTTTACACAGCCTCAGCCTCAGCTACTGGCCGCTGGGACCTCAACCTTGGTCTTTTTATTTTTACTAATTTTTTTTTTTTTTTTTTTTTTTTGAGACGGAGTTTTGCTCTTGTTACCGAGGCTGGAGTGCAATGGCGCGATCTCGGCTCACCGCAACCGCCGCTTCCTGGGTTCAGGCAATTCTCCTGCCTCAGCCTCCTGAGTAGCTGGGATTACAGGCACGTGCCACCATGCCCAGCTACTTTTTTGTATTTTTAGTAGAGACGGGGTTTCACCATGTTGACCAGGATGGTCTCGATCTCTCGACCTCGTGATCCACCCGCCTCGGCCTCCCAAAGTGCTGGGATTACAGGCGTGAGCCACTGCGCCCGGCCTACTATTTGTGTGTGTGTGTGTGTGTGTGTGTGTGTGTGCGTGTGTGTGTGTGTGTGTCATCCTTACGCAGTGGCCATGCTAATCTTCTCTGTATTGTTTCAAGTTTTTAGCATATTAGCATATTCCAATTCTAGTATAACCTCGGGCTTTTCAGTCCCTCCTCCGTCATCTTGCTCTTGCCTCACATGTAGCCGTCCTGCTTACCATTCTTCTGCCTCCAGGCTGCCAGGGGCAGTCATGATGGGTTTTTTGCTCTTTTTCCAAATTAGGGCAGATGATGTTCTTCAGGGGTTTATGTTCTTGAGACGGAGTTGTGCTCTGTCGCTCACACTTGAGTGCTGTGGCACAATCTTGGCTTACTGCAACCTCTGCCTCTTGGGTTCAAGCAATTCTTCTGCCTCACCCTCCCAAGCAGCTGGGATTACAGGTGTGCACCACCACACCTGGCTAATTTTTGTATTTTTAGTAGACAGGTGTTTCACCATGTTGGCAACGCTGGTCTTGAACTCCTGACCTCAAGTGATCCACCCACCTTGGCCTCCCAAAGTGCTGGGGTTACTGGTGTGAGCCACCACACCTGGCCTATCTTAACCATTCTTAAGTGTACAATGTAGTAGTACTAAATACATTCATAATTTTGTGCAATTATCACCATTATCCAACTTCTTAACTCTTCATCTTGAAAAACTGAAACTATTCATTAAACAATTATTACCCATCCCCTACTCCCTTAACCCCCTGGCAGCTACTACTCTACTTTTTGTCTCTATGATTTTGACTACTCTAAGTACTTCATATAAGTGGAGTCATATAGTGTTTATTTTTTATGTAACTGACTTATTTCACTTAGCATAAAGTCCTTAAAGTTCATCCATGTTTTAACACATTGCAGAATTTCTCTCCTTTTAAAGACAGACTAATATTCTTTTGTAGGGGTTTGCCACATTTTGCTTATTGCTGTGGCTTGACTGTGTCCCCCAAAGTTCATGTGTTGGAAACTTTTCTGTTTAATTAATTAATTAATTAATTAATTTTTTAGACAAAGTCTTGCTCTGTTGCCCAGACTGGAGTGCAGTGGCGTGATCTTGGCTCACTGCAAACTCTGCCTCCCAGGTTGAAGTGATTCTTGTGCCTCAACATCCTGAGTAGCTGGGATTACAGGTGCCCACATGTATAGCTAAATTTTATATTTTTAGTAGAGATAGGGTTTGGCTATGTTGGCCAGGCTGGTCTGGAACTCCTGGCCTCAGGCAATCCACCTGCCTTGGCCTCCCAAAATGCTGGGATTACAGGCGTAAATCATCATGCCCAGCTCTTTCTTACTTTTTGAGACACGATCTCGCTCTGTTGCTCAGGCTGGAGAGCAGTGGTTCATTCATGGCTCACTGCAGCTTCGATCTCCTAGGCTCAGGCGATCCTCCCACCTCAACTTCCCAGGCAGCTGGAACTACAGTCACATGCTACCATGCCTGGCTAATTTTTGTTTTTATTAGTTTATTATTTATTCATTTATTTTGTAGAGATGAGGTATCACTATGTTACCCAGGCTGACCTTGAACTCCAGGGCACAAATGATCCTTCCTCCTTAGCCTCACAAAATGTTGGGATTATGGATGTGAGCCACCACATATGGCCATGTATAAGAAACTTAATCCCCAATTCAATGGTGTTGAAAGGAGGGACCTTCAAGAGATGATTAGATCATAAGAGCTCCGCCTGCATGAATGGATGAATACTATTGTTTTGATAGTGGGTTCCTAATAAGAGGATGAGGATCAGGCCCCTTTCTCTCTCCCTCATGCTCTCCGGCCCTTCTGCCTACCACCATCAGATGATGCAGCAAGAAGACCCTTGCCAGAGGTGGGTCCCTCAATCTTGGACTTCCCAGCTAGCCCCCAGAACTGTAAGAGATAAATCTCTCTTCTTTATAAATTATCCAGTCCCAGGTATTCTGTTAGAGCAGCACAAAGCAATCAAGACACTTATCCATTCGTCCATCCGTGGACACTTGCACTGTTTCCAATAATGCTGCTATGCACATGGTGTACAAATATCTCTTTGAGACCTTGTTTTCAATTCTTTGGGGTATATACCCAGAGGTGGAATTGCTGGATTGCATGGTAATTCTGTTTTAATTTTTTGAGGAGCTGCCATCCCGTTTTGCATGACGGCTGCAGCATTTTACATTCCTGCCAACAGAGCACAAGGGTTCCAGTTTCTCTACAGCCTTGTCAACCCTTGTTATTTTCTGTTTGCTTGTTTGATGGTAGTCATCCCAAGTGTGAACAAGTGGGAGGTGGTATCTCATTGTAGTTTTGTTTTGTTTTTTTTCCAGGGAAACCACCCAGACTGTGTCCTCTCTCACTCTCCTAGAGGAAGACAATGGCAAATAGCGGTTATAGCGAAGCACCACCAACAGCCAGCTTGATGCCCAGGGGAGAATGCTGTGCCATCTCTTCATGGTTTCCTGTGCTCTACACATTCAGAGAAACTTTTCTTAAAATTAACTATAGAAACAATGAGACTGGGCAACATGGCGAGACCCTGTGTCTACAAAACATACAAAAATTGGCCAGGCGTGGTGGCTCATGCCTGTAATCCCAGCACATGGGGAAGCCAAGGCAGGCGGATCACGAGATCAGGGGTTCAAGACCAACCAGGCCAACATAGTGAAACCCCGTCTCTACTAAAAATACAAAAATCAGCCAGGCGTGGTGGCACATGCCTGTAATCCCAGCTACTAGGGAGGCTGAGGCAGAAGAATTGCTTGAACCCAGGAGGCAGAGGTTGTGGTGAGCCAAGATCACGCCATTTTACTCCAGCCTGGGCAACAAGAGCAAAACTCCATCTCAAAAAAAAAAAAAAAAAAAAAAAAAAAAAAAAAAAAAATAGCAGGTGGTGCACACCTGCAGTCCCCAACCACTGGGAAGGCTGAGATGGGAAGATCACTTGCGCTCCAGAGGTTGAGGCTACAGTGAGCTGTGATCACACCACTGTACTCCAGCCCCAGAGACAAAGTGAGATCCTGTTTCAAAAAAAGAAGAGAAATGGGCTGGGCACGGTGGTTCATGTCTGTAATCCCAGCACTTTGGGAGGCCGAGGCAGGTGGATTGCTTGAGGTCAGGAGTTTGAGACCAGCCTGGCCAATATGATGAAACCCCATCTCTACCAAAAATATAAAAATGAGCCAAGTGTGATGGTGGCCACCTGTAATCCCAGCTACTCAGGAGACTGAGGGGAGAATCACTTGAACCTGGGAGTCGGAGGTTGCAGTGAGCCGAGATCACGCCACCATATTCCAGTTTGAGCAAGAGTGAGATTCAGTCTCAAAAAACAGAAAAAGGGAAATGATCCCTGAAAGTATACTCTTTCATTGTAGTTTTTATTGGCATTTTGCTAATGATTAGTAATGTTGAAAACCTTTGCGTGTGCTTGTCTTTTTTTTTTTTTTTTTTTTTTTTTTTTTGAGAAACACATATTCAGGTCCTTTGTTCATCTCTGGGTTGCTCGGTTTTTGTTGTTGGTGTTGAGTTTTAGGAGCTCTCTATATATCCTGGATATCAATCCCTTATCAGACATATGACTTGCAAATGTTTTCTCCCATTCTGTCAATTTCCTTTTGAATTTGCTGATATTGTTTCTTGATGCACAAAATTCTTAAATTTTCATCAAGGTTAATTTGTCTGTTTTGTTGGTGGTGGTGGTGCCCTTGCCTTTGGTGTCAAATTCAAAAATATTATTTTCAAATCCAATGTTGGGAAGCTGTTACTGCATGCTTTCTTCTAAGAGTTTTAAAGGTTTAGATCTTACATTTAGTATTTTGATCCATTTTGAGTTAATTTTTAGATATAGTATTATATATATAATATATATATTATATATAACTTTATTCTCTTTATTCTCTTACATGTGGATATCCAGTTTTCCCAGCACTATTTGTTTAAAAAGCAAAAATCAATCAAACAAACAAAAACCTGTCCTTTCCCCATTAAATGATCTTAGCACTCTTGGCAAAGATCATTTGATCAAGTGTTTTGTTTTGTTTTGTTTTTTTGACATGGAGTCTTGCTGTCACCGAGGCTGGAGTGCATTAGCACAATCTCAGCTCACTACAACCTCCGCCTCCTGGGTTCAAGCTATTCTCCTGCCTCAGTCTCCCAAGTAGACGGACTACAGGTGTGTGCCACCATGCCCGGCTAATTTTTGTATTTTTAGTAGAGATGGAGTTTCACCCTGTTGACCAAGCTGGTCTCAAACTCCTGACCTCAGGTGATCCACATGCCTCAGCCTCCCAAAGTGCTGTGATTACAGGCATGAGTCACTACACCCAACCTGATCAAGTTTAAGGCTGCATTGCACTACAGCACTACAGACTTGACAACAGAGCAAGACCCTATCTATTAAAAAAAAAAAAGAAAAGAAAAGAAAATCGCTTGGCGACGTGGCTTATGCCTGTAATCCCAGCACTTTGGGAGGCCAAGGTAGGTGGATCACCTACGGTCAGGAGCTTGAGACCAGCCTGACCGGCATGGAGAAACCCCGTCTCTATTAAAAAGACAAAATTAGCTGGGTGTGATGGTGCACCCCTATAATCCCAGCTAATCTGGAGAGTGAGGCAAGAGAATCACTGGAACCTGGGAGGCGGAGGTTGTGGTGAGCCAAGATCACGCCATTGCACTCCAGCCTGGAAAACAAGAGCGAAACTCCACCTCAAAAAATAATAATAATAATGTGATTATAGGCCAGGCATGATGGTATGTGCTTGTGATATCAGCTACTCAGGAAGGTGTGGTGGGAAGATCACTTGAGTCCAGGAATTTGAGTCCATCCTGGGCAACATAGCAAGACCGATCTCTAAGAAAATAAGATAAATTTAAAAATTGAGGCCGGGCGCGGTGGCTCACATCTGTAATCCAAGCACTTTGGGAGGCCGAGGCGGGCAGATCACAAGGTCAGGAGATCGAGACAATTCTGGCCAACATAGTGAAACTCCATCTCTACTAAAAATACAAAAATTAGCCGGGCATGGTGGCACATGCCTATAATCCCAGCTACTTGGGAGGCTGAGGCAGAGAATTGCTTGAACCTGGGAGATGGAGGTTGCAGTCAGCCATGATGGTGCCATTGCA